TGGAAGCGTATTTCAGGATCAGAACACGATGTTTCTGCTGCTGCTGCTGATACGCAACGTACAACAGAAGCTGTCAATTTGTGGAAAGAGACTGCAACGGCAAAAATATTGGGCACTGACAATAAAATAACGGGTGATGTGAAAATTAAAGAGATAGGCAAGGATAAAATCAAACTCGAGGGGGTGATTAGAGGTCAGCTCACTTATCAGTAGTTGTTGCAGTTTTGATCAATTAATAGTCATCACTGCATCGAAGCATCGGTCATTTAATAGCCATCAATATTGTTAAGCTTTTTCCTGCTTTCCGCATTTTACAGAAACATGTCATCAAATTTCTTCTGAACAAATCCCGAAGAAGAGAGCCATCGACAGCCTTTCCAGAAGTGGCTGAAGTTGAAAATGCTACCACTCGAGCTACTTCCGACTGCAACCAGCTCTCCTGGAGAATGAACTCGGGGAGACATTGATTTTTGCCATCATTTGCTGCCCACCCTTTTTTTTTTACTGCCTTATTCAAACCCACAAACAGAAGTGTTCCAGAAAGCCCAGCCTATTCGTTTGAAAAAATCAGTCTTTAAAAAGCTTAAGCAGGGCAACTTGACTTTTCTCGTATGAGCCAGCATGACTGGCCTGAAATCAACTTTCAGACATTCCCGGTCTATAATTGCACGTCCAAGTGCTACCTGAGATTAAAATATGGTGAAAAGATAAAAGTTGTGGATTTGAAATGTTTCTGATTTCTTTGCGACCCGATTAGGCGTATTTTTTCTTTCATACATACTAATGCATCCATCGTGAAACTCCCCTCAGAGATTATACCGCAAAAATTCATATCCGTGGTAGCCTTTTGGTTTCCAATACGATTTAAGTGGTTTTATTGCATTTAATTCCACGGTAATCAAAATTAGGATCAATGAGAACTTAAAAAATTGAAATCTATAAAGATTTTTACTCAACAGCAATTTCAAACGATATAGCAAAATCACACCGTTGAAAAATCAAAAAATGACTTAAAAACTGACGGATGGCAAATCAGCAGGCTGTACAAATAAAATCGGGAATGAAATTTAAAAACAGAAATGGATCTATAAATTGCTGGATGTGCAGAAGGGAATTTACCGGATTGTTTCTGGATCATATGACCAAAAAGCCATGAAAATTTAGGGTTACCAAAAGGAGAACATGCACTGATTGTGCATCAGTCCGGTGATTTATCGAACTCTTGTGCCAATATTGGCCCAGTAATGGTAACTACTAGCAAGGAAAATATATCTGCTATATTTGGTAACGTTGACGCGCATGGCGACGAAAAAGTAACAGTTGGTATGTTCAAAATTTGCGCGGCTTTTACGTCCTGATCCATAAACAGGTAAAGTCATGCAAACTCGCATTATGCTGGAGGGTGTTCCGGAATCAGCTCCGACAAAAAAGGACGCACATAGATTTTGTCGGCTGTCCTGTTTTTCAGCCCTAGAATTTAGTGCTCCCAAGATCCAATCATACTTTTTTTAAAATTCTCACCAGTTTAATTTTTTTATCCACAAACCAGCTCTTGTTTTTTTTCTTTTTATTCTGCTAGGCTTCCTCTGATTAATACGGTTAAATCCTGCACTGCCTGACTTAGTTTCACTCATTTTCCTTCCCAATTGAGCCTGTCCCAGAACAATAAAGAGGTGCAGAGACATACTACTTGCCAGAACAGATGTACTTCCGAACTTTGAGCACTGAAATTCACCGCAAATCAGGCAAAATGTCCGGTTATCTTTTCTACCGGAGTCCGAAAATTGAGCATCAATCCAGAAAACGCCTAGAGAGAATGTTAGTTTCGTGCGGAGAAAAAAAGCCTGCGCCTCCAGACAGCTTCGTGGTCTTACCTTAAAGCACCTCAAATGAATACAATTTCCCAACTGTGATAGAGTGAGGATTCGCAACGGAACAATGATAGTGAGCATTTTCAGATCGGGAAATCGATTGGCCAAGTGATGTGTCTCTGGTGGGACATTCATTGGTTTTGCATAAGCTGTCTGTAATGGAGTGGTCGTTGCGGAGCACGAATACATTGCCGCTCGCTTGCGGTACCATCGGTTTCGCATCCCGGTAGATTTATGAATGCTACATCCCTGTTTCTGAGATTTATCTGTTACTAGTTGTTTGCGATTGGTGATATTTTTTCTTCCAAATGTACCTTTTCAAGAGAAATAAACGAATTGTTTACGCATTCTGGAAACAGATATATCCCTTCCGGATGGAAAAATGCAACCCAACTCATTTTACATTATTATTGTGCATTTCTGTATAAATTTAAAATGCGCAATGATGAGCTTAAATTATGGCGCTTTTCAGATCCTTTTTCAGCACCTCTCTCAGTACTTCAAGCGGTTACAGTCTTCTTGATCACCACTGATTCATCAGTGATGCAGCTGACAATCATACCATTTCTTTCTTTTTCATTTCATGGCTGTTTTGACCAGTGCTGCATTGCCCGGCGGTCAGCTTTCTGGCGATTCTCGCTCTCCTTTCATCGCCTAAAAGGATTGCCGGTTTAAAAGCTATTCCATCAAAAATACTTTGGCGAGCTTTAGGTATTTAGAAATTCAAAGGTGTACTAGGCGCCACCAGCTCGTCCGCAAGGAAGTTATTTTCCAAGCCGTACTGTAGTACCTTGCAGTGTACGAGTTGCCTGTACTACTAGTATCAAATTCAAAATTTGCGCGGGAAGAAAAAATAAGTTAATCAAAGTGCACAGTCCCAAATTTGTTGCATAATAAAGGATTAGTGGCATTAAATCAACTTCGAAACATCATCGTCCTCAAACTGAACTTGCGGTGTTTGAATCCGATTTGCATTTTCGATTCAAAGCGAATAACGAGGCCTAAGCACCGCAGTCAATAACAAAAGGATTTCGGATTAAAAACGAGCCGAATTTGACCGGATATTTATGGAACGAGTAGATACTTCTATGTGCGGGAAAAGCGCTGCCACCTCGACATATTCGACGCCTCGTCTTTAGTTCTTTTTTCTAGAAGCACAAATGTACCGTCCTGTTAGCTCGTGCTGACTGTTTCATTCTGAATGACCAGACGTTGAGGACGTCCACTCTGCTGAGAAGAAAAAATCCTTTCCTTACTTACCCACTCGAAACTGAAACAAGCAGTAACAAGTGGCAGCAGCAACTACCACCTAGAAAGATTGCCAAAGGTTCTCTCTTTTGTGAGAAGTACAGTTGAAAAAGAAACCCAGGCTGGAACGCACCAGGCGGGCCGGTGCGATTATGCGTTTTTGCACTTCTCGT